ATTCCCGTGATAAAGACAATGTCTACGTATTCCACATTGTAGCACTAAAAGAATTAATTCTTTTAGCACAACCTTATATGCAGAACGGATTTATACAATCCGCATGCTGGCCCGATTCAAACGGTAATCGGTAAAGGCACATCAAATCCGTTGAAGGCTGAGGATTTGCCAAAAATCCTAAGTCTACGTCTAACACATGTTGCCGATTTAGTCTTTCACCAAATGAAAAGACACCAGAATACAAGTCTGGGGACTTTTATCCTGAATCCTAAGTAAGGATGAGTCAGCGCCTAACACGCGTTGCCGGGTAGTCTATTCCCGTGATAAAGACAAAGTCTACGTATTCCACATCATAGCACTAAAAGAATTAATTCTTTTAGCACAACGTTATATGCGGAACGGACTTATACAATCCGCACACTAGCCCGATTCAAACGGTAATTGATAAAGACACATCAAATCCATTGATGGTTGAGGATTTGCCAAAAATCCTATAAGCGTTGTGTCCACTTGGTTCACAATCAACAAAGAAACATCATGATACAAGATGAGTATACTAAATCAAATACTGGGTCTTTACTAATAGATCAAGTCAAAGCATACAATGATAAAGCTCATCGACCCGAACGCAATCGGCGACTGAGAATGTGAAGTTCTAACCTAGAGAGCATATTTGCATAACCCTGCTCAAGCTCAGCCTGTAGATCAGCTCGGACAAAATCTTCAGAACTGCTCAAGATCTTCATGGCTTCACCTCTTAGCTTCATCAATCTCTCCTGCGTAGATCCTAGTCTCTTAAGTATCTGTCCGCGAGAGCTCTCTAAATCAGCCAGCTCATTTGCAATGATAGCACCAGACTCCTCAGTGTACTTCAAGGCCTTCTTCAACCTGACTACCTCCTCGCGATTAGAGTCTAAAGAACCGAGTAACTCGGCTTTATCCGTATCCTTCCTCGCAAGATTAGCCATCATCTGCATGATAGAACTCTCATGCGACTGAAGCTCGCTACCAATAGAAGACCTAAGGTCACGCCATTGTGTCAGTCTATGCTCTAACTGAGAAGATACAAAGGAAGAAGCCCCACTAGCCTTCAGCTCCTCTAACTCTCGGAATTCACACTCCAGAACAACAAAGTCGGCAGTGAGAGAATAAGCTAGCTTAGAATATCCCTCCTCTCTAATCATCATCATATGTCGAGCAAGGGAACACCTGAACTGATCGAAGCAATATCCCTGATGAAGAAGTTTCTCGATTATTTTGTCAAAAAAGTGGACGAAATAACTAAGATCCACTCGATGTCTCTGCTAGTATCAGGATCGGCTAAAAGGGATAGGACGGGCTCATACGAAGATAGTGGAGACCCTACAAGTAATGGCATAAAAGGGTAAGAAACTCTAGAATATAGTGGGAAAATCAGAGCGAATTATGAGCATACCAGTACCAACAGGGGTCCCTTCGGTTTGAGACCCTATGATAGGCTCCGTCAATCTAATCTCAGCAGACTCAGGGATAGTAGCAGGTGTGATCATCGAAGGTATATCAACTCCTCTAGGTAATTTTGTAATGCTCGTTGGGTTTGGAGAAGATACACCACCACCAGGCAAACTAGGGATGCTAGGAATCGTAGTCGTATCAGTCATGATGGTTGGTCCTATGATTATAATTCTTTATTAGTCAAATAGAGATTTGGACAAAAGAAAAGAATGATGATGAAGGGGTTACATGCATACGTGCAGAGCCGTCACCGTCAGGCAAACTTGGGATGCTAGGAATCGTAGTCGTATCAGTCATGACGGCTGGTCCTATGATTGCAATTCCTTATTAGTCTAATAGAAATTTTGGCAAAAGAAAAGGATGACGATGAAAGGGGATTATATGCATACCTGCAGAGCAATCACCCTCAGCTAAACTAGGGATGCCAGGAACCATATCCGTATCAGTCCCGATGGCTGGTCCTACAATTAGAATTCCCTATAGGTCAAATAGAGGTATCAACAAACGAAGATAATTACAATGTCAGAAATTAGATGCATACCTGCAGATGAACCATCTTCGAAGGATGGTCCTGTATCCTCTCTGGTGGCTTGCTCCGCCAACATCTCAACTAACAATCTAGTGTCGGATCCCGAGAAACTCGGTGCTAAGACATACATGTGTTCGCTGAATTCCCTAAGACCCATATCATAGAAAGTCTCGTCTTCGACCGGCCTCTCTAGCATGATACCTACATAAGAGTTTAAGTGCTGGATATATACAAAATGGGAGGGAAGAGAAAGGAGCTCAGATTTACCTGCAACGGTGGTAGAAGGCTCTTCTGCTCTAATATTCACGCCCGTGTTCTTCAATTTGTCTAAAAGAGAATGAAGCGTGGAAGTGATTAAAGGGGGAACAAATTCCAAATTGCCTAACTCCTTTAACTGCTGCTCGAATAGTGTATTACCGATGTTAGATATACCTGGGCATAGAATCTCCGGTTCAACGCTATCAGCCTGCATGGCGTCTCTGTTTGCTTCAACATCCATAGACTCATCACGAATGGCATCGTACATTTTGCTGCACGAAGCTCGGGCTACCCAGACGGCCAGGATCAGAGAATATAGGATCTTGCGGAAGTTCACCTCCGTCATGGCTTCCTGAAATATGGAACATGATCAGATTCAGGAAATCCAAAAGAGCATTATTTTAAAGTAGTGGAGATAGTAGAGCATTACCCTCTCCTCTACCAGTAGTACCTCGTGGTTCCACTCCGTGAGCCCGCTGACCAATATGTGATTTATGGGCGGTCTTCTTCCTTTTTGGAGGACAAACCCTTACAGGACCAGCGGGCCGCTCATGCGTGGATTTAGTACGCATCTCAACCTGTGCAGAAGCCTCGGCGCTGGACCGTGATCTCGCATAACGAAAAATAAGGGGCTCATGCTCGTCAACCATCCTACCTGGAGTGACAAGAGTTATCTTGTTAGGGTAAGTAAATAAGACCTTTAGTTCCAGCTTTGAAAAGCCAGTTGAGATCTAGAAAGGGTATGACATTGATGCCAACGAGAAAATGCCAGATCCATTAATTCTGAAAAGAAAGAATCCGACAGACCTGTATCAGGTTCTTCCCCGTCGGTATCCATGTCCACGAATTCTTCCTCAGAAGTTTTATCCTCATCATCAGTAGGAAGGAGCTTTTCATCATCCTCCATCTTGTCTCTGCTCGAACGGGAGGGTTTGGCAGGTTTCTTCCCCTGCTTCTTCGAAAGCTTAGCCTTACGAGCAGTCTTGATAGTAGTTTGAACCAAGTGCTCAGCCTCCAAATCTGAGAGGCTCTTCACATCTAGATGCTCATTGGCAGGAAGGAGCCACTTGCAGCTGAGGAAAGTAAGTAATGGTTTGCCCTTGGATGAAGGAAGAGCGAAATAGGCTCCAGTGCAGCCCATCATAGTCCAAAGCCATGCTCAGATGTCGTCAATAAGGCCCCCCTCGATTCTCAAACCCCGGCTTGGGTTCCTAACATATAGTTGGTCGTGACCGAACTGACGAGCGAAGCGACATGGAAGATAAGGCTCTATATGGCAACGACCCTTCACATGAAGGATGAGATATCCAACGCGGATGTTCACCAACCAACGGAAGCAACCAGCATCAAGAGAAGTTCGACCGACCCTTGATTTCTCCTCATCAATCAACACGTCATCATAGCGGCCCGAGAAGCGAGGGAAACACTTGAAGAACTCCCAGCTCTTACGAACTTGAAGCTCTCGCTGGACATCAGTGAATGTCTTCCCAAACCACTTGCTCCTTTCTAACAGCTGCACAAAAGGAACGGAGGCATCAACAGTACTAGGCGCCTACATCAAATCAGGACGGTGAAGAACGAGCCACGCCATCAGGTATGTATACGGAAGCTCGACATTTACAGAAAGAAGCTCGGTTGACGGTTCAGAACCCACGTGTGTAAGACCATCGACCAAATACCTAAGCCCACAATGAATGCCGGTAATTATCGCCTGAAGCAAAGAAAGCTCCTTCCCGTAAGCTAGCTGGACGGCAGGAAAAAGGACCTCAATAGGCAAGGCGTCAAAAAATTGATATAGAACGACGCACTTCTTCAACCAGAGGGTGAGATAGCCCGCTAGCAGAGTCCTGGGCCGAATGGACTTCTGAGCGTGACAAAGGAGTGTCCGAAACTTGGACCTCGCAGGGAAAGCTCTCTCAGTGCCAGTGATAGTAAAGGAATGAGCTTCAGACCTCTCCATTAACTCATTGATGGTAGAAGGTATCAAAGGGGCCAACTCACAAATAGTCTCGCCCGAACTACTCTCCAAATGCTGGAATAAATAATTAGCGAACTGCTTCAAACTGACCTGCCTCTTCCTCTTCGCCAGAGGACTCACTTTGATTAAGGATGTATAATAATGTCACGTAAGGTCCCAAAATGTGTCATACATACCGTGAGAATCTTTCTTCAGCCACTGTAACTGCAAGTTCGAGGGAAAGTACTCCTGATACGGATAGTCCCCCATCGGAAGATCAGAAACTTTATGCATCTCGTGCAGAGCTAACCCTAACTCTCCACTACAGGTCAAGAAAGTGTTACTGTTAGGGATATATGTCTTCAATAACGCTAGGAATTGGTGATTGTTGACCGAAAATCCATACATGATGGCTCGTAAGGGCGTATACAACCCACTACCTCTCAGATCACTCTCCCAACGTCATAAGACATAACTGGTCATACGAGTCCACCACCTTTTAGGTGGCGAATAGGCCCAACCGAAGCATATGAACTCTGTCGGAGGTAACTTCCTCCCAAGCTTGGCCAAACGATTCCTCACAGTAGGGGTGGCTGCTAACACCTCGTCTGGTAACGCGGTATCAAGGCCCAGAATCCCTGGTCGAAGGCCGCGAATATAATTATAACCATCAGAACCTGGGGTCTTATGATGGGAAATAAATCCACAATGAACTCGGTCATGGTCATTTGTAAGATTCCAGGATATCTATCGCCGCACAGCCTACATCTCCAAATGAGTGAGAGAGTGCTGACGGGGAATAGAAGGGATGTATAGAAGGAGTCCTTCATCATTATTCAACCAGTGCTCATCATCAAGAATCAGCTTAGCTGGATCCTCGACATGGTCTCCAAATAAATAACCAGGCTTCTCTAAAGCCTGAGTGGAAATAGAGTCTTCAGTGAAGGTGGCATCGGTAATCAACTGGTGCAGTAAACGACGGCCCCCATCTCGTATCAAGCGATAGAACTCCTCGGAACGACTCTTATCAAACTGAGGAGTCGGACCAATGACCTGCCTATCAACAACAGAAGCAAAACTTTCTCTACTGCAACCACTAGTAGCATGAGGAGGAAGGCTATCCGCGGGGAATTCAACTGCAGCAAAACAAACGTGGAATTAAAAAATTATTCATGAATTATACAATGATTGAATTCATCTCACAAGCTAGCAAGATAGAGTCATTCATTGAGTGATTAGCGAGACAATTTCGAGTGTCCTACACCGGAAGAACGGTATGCATCATCACGTAAGTAACGTGGTAATGTACCCCGACCTACGCAGTGTATTACAACACAAAATCGCCCTAATATGCCAGAAGATGTGAATTGGCCAAGCAAAACATGTCTTTTTGAAACCTCAATCCCCGCGAAGGAGGACGTTGGTTCTTCCCGAATGACCCGCTAAGGGGTCAAACGAGGGCATGATAGAACAGCAAATCATCCTGAAACCTCGATACCCGCGAAGGAGGACGTCGGTTCTTCCCGAATGACCCGCGAAGGGATCAAACGAGGGCATGATAGGATAGCAAATCATCCTGAAACCTCAATCCCCGTGAAGGAGGACATCGGTTCTTCCCGAGTGACCCGCGAAGGGGTCGAGCGAGGGCATACGAGTTATCCCGAAACCTCAATCCCCGCAAAGGAGGACATCGGTTCTTCCCGAATGACCCGCGAAGGGGTCAAGCGAGGGTACAGAAAACACAAAAGCTCACCCCCGTAAGAGAACACTATGGGAGCCTCCCTCTCGCTATGCTGAGAAGAAGAGTGACTCCTATGGAATCGCGGTCGGCGTGGAGATATGGTTAACATGCAACGAAAATCAACAGATCAGGTACAATCATAAATCCGAATACCCGAAAATTAAAAGGAAAATTACGAACTTTAGCTAAAAGTCCTATGAACAGAATAAGATTTTATAGTTGAAGTCTAATAAAACCTATGAGTTTTATGCATGCAAATCATGGGTCCAAAATGCATTTAAAGCCTTCATGATCAACTTTTGGGTGAAATACCTAAAATACCCCTTATGTTCAAGCTTAAATTTTAGCCACGAACACCTTTGAATTTGGCCATGATCGAGGAAGGAAAACCATCATCCCCAATATCCCACAATTTTAGCCAATTTTGCAAATATACCCCTCTACAAATTTTGGCCAATTTTGTAAATAAACCCGGCTACAAATTTCGGCCCAATTTGCACATACACCTTTCAAACTTTTGATCATGGATATGTGGTTCAAAACTCTACAAATTTCAGCCCTAAAATTTCAGCCACTTTGCAAAAAAGCCCCTCAACAAATTTTCAGCCTTTTCTACAAAAAAGCCTCTTGATTACATACCCACATTACAAGGATAAATTTTTAATCTTTTCTACAAAATCCATAGATTCTTAAATCAAAATTAAGCATACAATGAGGATTTTTTGAAAAGAAGCTTACCCAATTCAAAAGCCCAACTCTTGAAGATGGAGATTCCTCAAATCCTAGCTTTGAGAGAAGAGGATTTTTTTGCCAATAAAGGGATAAAATCCAATTTTTTGAGGGGATGACAAGGTTTTTAAAGGCAAGAGTTTTGATGGGTTAAGAGTTCTTGAAAAGAAAAACAATGGAGTTTGGATAGGAGGAAGAAGGAGTTGAGGGGGAAAAAACTTTTTTTTGAAATTTGGGAGTTTAGGAGGGAAATGGAAATACAATCACAACAAAAAAAAGGGGGGGAGTGCCTCGGCCATTGGGCCGAAACACCCAAGGGTGTCTTAGCCCAGGTCGAGCACCCTGGGTATTTTTATGAGCCTATATCACCTAATTCCGTCGGTGGTTGGTCATTCTGATGAAAATCAACACAAAAGTCAACGCCAGGCCGAGCGATCCGAAACCCTAGGTCAACGCGCAACCCTAGGTCAACGCCAGTCAACGCGTTGAGATAAAAGTCAACGCCAGGTGATCCGAAACCCTAGGTTAACGTCGATCAACACATAACCCTAGGTCAACGTCAGTCAACGTGTTGGGATAAAAGTCAACGCCGGGCGATCCGAAACCCTAGGTTCACGCCGGTCAATGCGTAACCCAAGGTCAACACCAGTCAACGCGTTGTGATGAAAAAGTCAACGACGGGCCGAGTGCCCCGAAACCCTAGGTAAACGCCGGCTAACGCATAACCCTAGGTCAACGCCAGTCAACACGTTGCGATAAAAGTCAACGCTGGGCGATCCGAAACCATAGGTTTATGCCGGTCAACGCGTAACCCTAGGTCAACGTTGGTCAACGCGTTGTGATGAAAAAGTCAACGCCGGACCGAGCGATCCGAAACCCTAGGTCAACGCCGGTCAGCGTGTAACCCTAGGTCAACGCCCGTCAATGCGTTATGATAAAAGTAAACGCTAGGCGATCCGAAACCCTAGGTCAATGTTAGTCAATGTGTAACCCTAGGTCAACGTCAGTCAACGCGTGGCGATAAAAAGTTAACGTCGGACCAAGCAATCCGAAACCCTAGGTCAACGCCGGTCAACGCGTAACCCTAGGTTAATGCTAGTTAATGCGTTGTGATAAAAGTCAACGCCGGGTGATCCAAAACCCTAGGTTCACGCCGGTCAACGCGTAACCCTAGATCAACGCCAGTCAATGTGTTGCGATGTAAAAGTCAATGTCGGGTGATCCGAAACCCTAGGTTAACGCCGGTCAACGTGTAACCCTAGGTCAACACCAGTCAACGTGTTACGATAAAAGTCAACGCCGGGTGATCTAAAACCCTAGGTTAACGCCAGTCAACGCATAACCCTAGGTCAACGCCAGTCAACGCGTTACGATGGAGGTCAACGCAAGTCAATATATTGTGACGTAGATGGTCAGTTCAAAGTCAACTTGACGATACGAGCCAAAATTTTGACGACGGCCAGACGATAAACGCAGCGCTGGGAGAACTTTAGCTATTCTTCAAAATATTGAATAGATCGAAAATCGAAGGAGTCAAGAATCAAAGCTAACTATAGGTCCTTTTACACCAACTGAAGGTTGGACCGATCATATTCAAAGTATTTCAGGCTCATCTATAAAAGAAACGAGACTGAAACACTTTGGAGAGGGTATCTTCATGCGTTAAAATTGCCTATAGGTCCCCGCACGTGGCTCGAGACCGAGAGGAGATGATGAACATTACTATTTGAGTCACAGAAGCTCATTTGATAATGACGAACGCATGAAGTGAGTCAACGGATCATGCGAAGCAACGGAATTTTGGAATAATCGAAACACGAATGAATCGGGAGCTACACGTCACTTACGAAAGATGAAGCGCCTCTCTTATCCCATTTACTCCACACATGATTTAATCGTGAGAGCTTGTAGATCTCCTCGTTGGCTTTCTAACGCATTCTGGATCGCATGATTTCGAGTTCAGACGAAGCGTGTGAGAGACCAAGCCCTGAGCCAAACTGAGACACCAATTGGTGTCTCGGCCAAACCGAGACACCCGCGAGTGTCTGCAACCCGAAAAAGCTGATTTTTGGCTATTTCTGGCGGTTTTTCGACCGTTAACCGCCTGGATTTGCCCCAATTGATAAAATATCATCCATGAACGTGGTTAAGTGGTTACAACCGAGGATAAGAGGGAATCGGTCGTTCTTATTTGAAAACAGGGGTCCTTAAGCCTATAAATACAGCCCCAGGGCCTTTATTTTTCCAGATCTGGAATTCTCGAGCATTGGTGGAGCCCTGCCGAACTAAAGACTGAAGGAGCATGAATTTCAGAAGAGAAGAGGAGATCGATCGAGTTCTTCGGCGCAGGAAAGAAGAGTTCGTCAGATCTGCAGTTCTCGTGTTCTTACCTTAAGATTACCCCATTGCGGTTATCTTAAGAAGAGTAATTATCTCACCGTTGCTGAGATAAATGCTTCGGCTTCTTGATTCCTTTACGAATCAACGAAGCTGCGAATCTGATCTAATCATCAGATGGTCCACAGATATTGATGTCCCCGTCACCGGTCAATAACCCACGCAAGCAAGAGGCGATAAATGAATCTTATGTTTATTTTTGAGAGAGTTGTGTTTTTTTTTATTTTTGTTATTTGAATTTGTTGTAAATGACTAAAGTTATAATGAAATCAATCACGAAGGTGACTTTTGAAGGAAACAACATTATCAGATATCTGGTTAACAACCACATCTCATTAGTACCTCAGGCCCGCCCCAGTGCGAAACGTTTCACTGGTGCGTGCCTGGAAATAACCAATAATCACAATATCACTGCTCCTCAGACCCACCCCCAGTGTGAAACGGTTCACTGGTGTGAGCCTGAAAATAAACAATAAACACATCCGATCACTGCTCCTCAGACCAACCCCAGTGCGAAACGGTTCACTAGTGCGGGCCTGGAAATAAACAACAAATATATCCGATAACATAAACCCAGACCTTCCCATCCCAAGTCCAAGTCAACAACTCATATCTCACGGGTCACTATGGTCAAGCAATACTCGCGATTCTCAACTATAACAATGTATGACTACCATTAATATTGTGTATTAGAGTCGGTAATTATGAATGTGAATGAGAACAACAGTGCACGATGAATTATAAATATCAATTCCATGAATTTAATAATTTTCCTAAAATGATTCTTTTCACAATTAAATTCTTTTAATTTATAATAATTATTCTAAAATAATATTTTAAAATAATAACTTATTAATTCAAATAATCATTTTGCAAAATAATTCCCTTAAAAATTCTTTAATACCATTCAACAACAAATCCACGCATAATAATCATATCACAACTAAAATATGCAGATAATTTATAACAGGTATAAAATTCAGATATGAGCAAGAGAGATCTTGTCTGCGAGACCAATGGGTCTGATGACGAGGTGACGATGCCGATGTGAACGCGGCTTGTGATGATCGAGGCAACATGGATCTGATGGTGTCGAATCTGAAGTTGACGGCGACTACGACGACTGAGTGAAGAGGTTGAGGGCTATCGACGAGGTGCAGAGGGGGTGGGTAGAGGACTAAAGGTCGCTAGAAGTTCTGCAGTGAGTCGGGCGGAACGGGGCTGACGCGGCCTGGCGCGGGCTTTGAGGTTGCAGCGGGGAATAGCCGAAGAGACCCAGCGCATGGAAGGCGGCCGCTGCAGGAGTCGCGGAGAAGGCGCTTGAGGGTTCGAGCGGCGAGGGCGGTTGTGGTGGCGAGCGAGCAGCCCAGAGCTACTGATGGGGCGGGTCTGGTCGGGAACGTGGTCTCGAAGGCTGGACGGCCCTGGTACGGGGCTGCTGCTTAGGCGCGGGCAACGGTGGTGCTCAGGCGGCGATGAGCGGGGTCGGGCAGCAGAGAAAGGAGAGAGAGGGGAAGGCGGTGACTCAGGCGTGGGGCGGCGGACTCGCGGCCGCTCGAACGACGAGAGAGGGAGAAGATAAGATCGACGGGCGCGCGACGGATTTGTGAGAAGAGAAGGGAGTAAACGAAAACTTAAACACTTATATTATATTATATATATATATTATATATATATATATTATATATATATTATATATATATATATATATATATATATATATATATATATTAGAAAAGTAAGTAATTTCATTAATACTTAAAACCAAGTACAAGTGGTAGATAATTGGCTAGATCAAACTGGTATCTAACTAAATAAACTGTAGAGAGGGGAGAGGACCCTGGCCGTCACCCTCAACTAAGCCACCTAGAAAGAAAACCAGCGTGAACTAAAGCCAAACAATCAAATATGTACAACCAGAAATACAAACAAACCAGCTCCCTTACAACTGAAATTTTCATTGTTTACTCACATCAATACCCCAATTTGATAGAATAACTGTTTCCAGACTTCCAGTGGCAGGTTCTGATTAAAACATTGATGTCTTCATATAGTCTTCTAAAAACACTGTTTCCAGACTTCCAGTGGCAGGTTCTGATTAAAACATTGATGTCTTCATATAGTCTTCTAAAAACCATAACCTTATGCATCCGTTGCTCATGAAAAATTCTGCGATTTCTTTCTTGCCAAATATGCCAAACTGCTGTACTCAAAACCAATCTAGCCAATATATAAGTTTTATCTTTCACCTTGAATTTGTTTTGTGTTTCTATTGCTTCAGTTTTCAGGTCATGAATTGTCATATCATCGGTATGTAGCTTCAGTTTACAGAGTTTCCATATATAGGCAGAAAAAGGGCATTGGAAAAATAGATGATCTATGGATTCCTTCCTACCAGAACAGAGAACACAATCTTCAGTCAAGATGATCCCAAATCTGAAAAGTCTGTCTCTAGTAGCAAGTCTGTTAAGTAAGCTTTTAAGCAAGCAGCATGCCATCTTAGGAGCAAAGCATGGAAACCATACCACATTAAACAGGTCAAATTTTGGGTATACAGTCCTAACATGATTCCAGGCAGAAGCAAAAGAAAATTTACCTTTAGGATTATGTAGCCAAAACCAATAATCCTCATGTCCAGAGATTTGGATATTCAATATGGATTGCTTCAGAGGGATAAGACCTGATAGAGAAAACTGCCATTGAGAATTGTGAATGATGTGGGAAACAGACCAGTTTTCTGTGCCTGAGAGATGTGGATCAAAATTATGAAGAATATCAATAATTCTCCCTTCTTGGATCCAAGGGTCAAACCATAGTGTAGTAGTCTCACCATTACCAATAGCTTTTCTTATACAACTCAGAGCTGTAGATTTAAGGCTTGTTAAGTGCTTCCAAGTTCCAGAATCTAGAATATTTACTGGAGCATCCCATAAGCTCTGACCTTTGATGTATCTGGCAGTCATCCATTTAGTCCATAGAGTAGAGTTATTAAGCATTCTCCATATCATTTTTAAAGCAACTGCACGACAGAGATCCTCAAGCTTCCTTAGACCAAAACCACCTTCAAATTTTGGTCTACATACCTCCTTCCAATTTATTGCATGAAATTTCCCTTTCCATAGAAAATTTGCAAATATAGCTTCTAGACTTTGAATAGTAGATTGAGGGAACTTATAAACTGAGTACCAGTAAGCAGTAGTGCTGAATAAAACAGATTTAATAAGCTCAAGTCTCCCTGCAAAAGATAACGAGTGAGTTATCCAACCCTCAATTGTATATCTGATTTTATCAATCAGAGGAAAAAAATTCTTTGCTTTGGGATAATTTATGGATAATGGCAGTCCCAAATATTTAACTGGAAGGGAGCCTCTTGACATCTCCACTATAGAACATAATTTAGTTTTGTTACTGCAACCTCTACTGAAAAAAACCTTACTTTTCTTTCTGTTTATATTCAGACCAGTGTTATTTGCCAGAGATTCCAATAGATAGTTAATTCCTTGAAAAGATCTTTTATTTGCTCTGCAGAAGACCAACATATCATCAGCAAATAAGAGATGAGAGACTTGAAGGTCTTTATTCTTCTTAATATTTTGTATATTTCCTGTTAAGGTAGCCAGTTCCATGCTTACAGACCAGAATTCCATCACAATAACAAATATATATGGAGATAGGGGATCCCCTTGTCTGATACCCCTATTGCTTTTGAAAAAACCAGATGAAAACAAATATATATGGAGATAGGGGATCCCCTTGTCTGATACCCCTATTGCTTTTGAAAAAACCAGATGAAGAACCATTTATCAGCACTGAAAAGATCCCCTTGTCTGATACCCCTATTGCTTTTGAAAAAACCAGATGAAGAACCATTTATCAGCACTGAAAAGGAAGGGGTAGAGATACATTCTCTAATCCAATTAATCCAAATAACAGGGAATCCCATGCAGTGCATAATAAAATAGACAAATTCCCTGTTAATGCTATCAAAAGCTTTATGTAAATCAATTTTTAAGCAAGCTCTCTTACCATGTTTCTTTGAGAAATCCCTTAATAACTCATGAGCCAATAATGAGCAATCACCTATCTGTCTTCCTTGCAGAAAAGCATGCTGGTTAGAAGAAATCAGCTCCCCCACAACCATCTTTAACCTATTGCTCAGAATCTTGGTGATGATTTTATAAATGACATTACAACAAGATATAGGTCTATAGTCTTGAATTGAAGAGGCATCTTTTGATTTTGGCACAAGAGTGAGAAATGTATGATTTATTTGCTTGAGGATTTTACCTGAGGAGAAAAAGGATTTCACTGCTAATATCACATCTTCCTTGATCAGACTCCAATTATGTTGATAGAAAAAAGCATTGAATCCATCAGGTCCTGGGGCCTTATCTGGATTCATTTGGAAGAGAGCTTCTTTAATCTCCTTGGCATTAACCTCTTTAATTAACCATTGCTTGGCTTCATCTGTGAGGATTTTCTTCACTGTCAATTTAGGGAAAACATTCCAATAGGAAGATTCATTAAAAAGTTCTTCATAAAACTTAGGAGCAACGAGCTTCAAGTTATCACCAGAAGAAGAAGGGGAACCATTTTGATCAATAAGGTACCTAATACTGTTTGTAGAGATCCTATGCTTAATAGAGTTATAGAAAAACACAGAGTTTGTGTCCCCTTGTTGTAACCATAACTGTCTACTCTTTTGTCTCAATTCCATCTCCTCCTTGTCTAGCCAACCATTAAGCTCAAACTTCAATTCAGATTCTGTATTTTGTAGTTCCACATTATCCATATCCTGATTTAACATAGCTTGAATGATATTCAATTGGTTAGAAAGCTTGATGATATTAGCTTTAGGTGAAGATTCAGTCTGTTTTTTCCATTGTTTCAGAGCAGCTTTAAGGGATTTGAGCTTGGAAACCAACACAAACATAGGAGAGCCAGCAATTTGATTGACCCAGACTTTGTTAACTGTCTCCTCATAACCTTTACATTGTGTCCAAAAGTTAAAGAATTTGAAGGGTTTAGGACCTGAATGGGTAAGGGGCACAAGCTGAACAACTGTTGGAGTATGGTCACTAGAAGAGGAACATTTATACTCTATATAAGCTTGAGGGAATTTATCAAACAATTTTGCATTACCTAGAGCCCTATCCAATTTGCCATAAATTCTGCCTATTCCTTGCTGATTGTTATGCCATGTCCAAGAAGAACCCATACTCTTGATATCAGAAAGACCACAAAACTGGAGACAGTCGTTGAATTCTTTAAGCTTCTTTGCAGTCAATTTAATTCCTCCAATTTTCTCTGAAGTGAATCTACAGACATTGAAATCTCCCACAAGTAACCATGGTAGATTATTAAGCTGATCAGAGATATTTCTAATATCAGTCCATAAAGAAGATCTTATCAGTTCTGAGTTTTCACCATATATTACACTCAATATCATAGAGAAACCTCTAAAGCTTTGCAGTTTAATAGTAACCTGTTGAAGAGTGGATGATATCACTGTCCCATTCCAAACATCAGCATCCCAAGCTACCCATATTCTCCCTTTAATTGAAGCAGAATAGTTGTTACAGTATGACCAGTCAGATGGAATACAATTTGTGATTCTGTATGCTTTAGTTGATTTAACTTTAGTCTCTAACAAACCAACAACATTTGGTTTCAAAGATTGAATGTGTCTTTTAATATCTCTTCTCCTTCCCACATTATTCATGCCACGAACATTCCATATAAGCATTGTCATGAGCTACTGTTTGAGGAGGCCCTAGTTACTCTTTTAGGACCCAAAGATAAATCTTTCAGCATTTTAACCTGATTTTTCTTTTTCATCTGTAACTGACTTTTTCACTTAACCATTCAGGATTATCAATTGAAATTGGAAAATCGATATTTGACTCCTTCACCTTACCACTTCCTTCAAGTAAAGAATCAATAGTTCCAGAACTGATTATGTTTAGGCTTGAATTTTCAGCTTGATAAGAGGTAGCATTCTGCATAGAAGTAATAATTGTATATGTTGTCTCTTTAGATGTTTTCTCACTGTTACTATTTTCTGGTAACTCTTGAAAATGCTGAAGATTTTGCTTGTCCTGTTTCTCAACATATTGAGTATCCTTTTCCTTCTCTAAAAGAACCTCAGTATCAGAATAGACTTCATAAATAGTAATTTCATCAATTATCTTGTCCTTAAGACCATTTTCATCAGTATGTGGAAAAATCTCCTCTATAACAAAATTCTTGTTTATTTGTCGACCATTTCCATCAATTAACTCCTCCATAGCAATATTACCAGTAAAAAGAGAGTTGGTAGCTTCATCTTTATTTGAAATTGTACTTTGAATTTCATTTGGGCAGACACAATCTATATCTGGCATATCTTTTGCACCATCCTGATTTGGATTACTACTCATACCTGATTCAATAGGAGATTCTTTAGGGATCCATTTCTCAACTAGAACCACAGGACATTGATAATCAACATGGCCAACAATTAAACATTTGTTACATTTTGGTGGTATCCATTCATACTCTACATTTGTTTCTAACCACTCTCCATTTCCTAGATCCAATTTGACAGAATTAGGAAGTTTGGCTTTTGAGGAAATTTCTACAAAACATCTAGCATAGGCTAATCTCTCTCCTGAAGCTATTGCTTGATCAATATACAGAGGAATACCCACAAGACTAGCAATTCTCCCAATTATATTAGTTGACCATAGTTTAAGATGCAAAGAGGGAAACCTGATCCAAACTGGCACAGTGGAAAGTAGTTCACGTTCAAGGCCTGAGTTCTCTGTCCATTTTTTCAGAATAATCAACCTTCCATCAAATAACCAAGGGCCACCATTCAAGACTCTGTTCATCTCCTCATTTGAACCAAATTTAAAAAAGAAAAAACCATTCTCCCTAGAGAATATTTCAAGTGAACATGTTAATTTCCAAAGGCGGCCAACACACCCTTTAAGGTGAGAATAAAAAGGCTTGTCTCCAAGAACATACCCAATTAATGTACTATTCCATTTTTCTACATTCAAGAGAATCTCAGATCTAGGAATTGAAGCATATTGCATACCTTTGCTATCAGTAGAAGGAGGAAAATATTCTAAAGCACAGTTCGGACTAATTTCTCTGCCCATAGAACAGACATCCTTCCAAGTTGTAGAGCCAGCAGATGTAAATTTAATGGAATCCGCATTCTTTGTCCTCTGGTACATAGTGAATTTTGCTTTGGGTTCTGATGATATATTCCTTCCAGTATCTTTCCTTAATTCTTGATGTTGATAAGATCTTGATTCAAAGGATATTGCATTAGGTTTGCGATACCTTCTTTGACGAGGAACAATTTTGATCCAATCTAGATCTTCTGTAGAATTTGGATTGGAGGGGGCTCTAATCTCTTCAAATTTGGGATCTGGATTACTCTCTAGATCCGTCATGGCCGAAGCCACAACAGAGATCTACGAATCTTCAAAATCGCCTGATCGCCCAAATCGCCCGCCCAAATATACACATATTGTACAATTAAACGAGAATAATTAATAATAAAAATATATTTACTTACATTTAAAATCCAATAATTATGGGATAACTATCCACATAAAAAAATATATTAGTTGTGCTAATAAGACAGGTAATACGTAATAGTAGAAATAATACAACAAATTATACAAATTATACATAATTAATAATACAACGTATTATACAAAAATATACGTAATAATAATAATAATACCACGTATTATCTAAAATAATACGTAATAGTATCGGTAACTCAACGGATAAATTCCAAAAAATTTTACTGCACTAAATAAATTTATAAATATTTAAATCATTTAAATAAATATAAAACTTAAACTTTAAATCATAATTAAATATTTTAAAATACCAAAAAATTATTTTAATTAGTATCAAAATTCATGGTCCTTACATCTTTTCATGTGAAAAGGTTTGAGAATGAATTTACAGAAGATATTTAAGATCTGAACATGATTTAAATGTTGTTTAATCTGATGAAAGATGATTTGTGCTTTGTTTCAAGTTCATGTGCATGATTTAGGGTTTCGAATATGAATTTCATGTAATTTATCATGTTATATACATTGTGTTGCTCCCAGAAGTTTTTATCTGTTGTTTTTATGCTTCCATGCAAGATTCATAATCGTTTTAATCATGTTTGAATCACCTAAACACGGCGTGAACACAACACACACAACCAGATTGAGAATCTAGAATTTTGGCTCACGGTCGACTGCGCCCTAGCGGCGGTCAACCGCGTATAGGACAGAGGCCTACGTAGGCCCTGGAACCTATCGCGGTAAACCGTCACATAATTGCGATCGACCGCCAAGTGTATTTTTGTCCTGTGCATGTTTAAAATTAACTGTTGAGTTTTCGGCAAGTGTCTCGATCTTGCACTGTTATGATACGATGTTTATAAGTTGTTTAACATCTGAGATGTTAGTAAACACCAGATATGGACAAGTACACCGAGATATGTACACATATGGTGTTGTGTTAACATACTAAATATGAAAAGTATATAAATATTATGTTTCCGGGATAGGGAGATGAAACCTATTTCTGCAGGACGATGGAGTAAGAGTATTATAAAAATACCATCATATTATGTTTCCGGGAT